TTTTAATCAATTATAGATATTTTATAAACATTATGGTAAATGATATAGAAACTATAATTCTACGTAATTTCCATAATCATTAACGTCCACACTTTCCAATGACTACAATGAAAAACTTGTACTTGGCGCCGGTGAATATTGTGGTAAATTTACGAATGTACTAGTATTGCGTATTTCTAATTCGAAGACCATTTGAAGCGACTTCATTTTTGCTTCATTTATCAATACTGGTTTAAGTTTTTTGACAGATATCGCGATACTTTTGAAAAATAAATCGATTTCATCTTCACGATTTTGAGCCATAGGTATTCTTCATGATCTCATTTCTCTCAATACGCCTATCTTCTAGAAGCTGTATAACTTTTTCATTATATTTTTGACGCTTGCTTTTTAGTGGTTTTTGCAACTTCGAAGTTTGTAGAGTTGGATCTTCATTTGAATTTTCACCGATTGAACATATCGATTGGTTATTAATTTCCTCTGGTATCTGCAAGTCATCGTTTATTTCTGTACTCGAATCATCGTCTCTACCTTCCTCACCACACACAATATTTGATATGCTACTATAAATTAAATGTATATGGTTAAATTAAATTCATAAACAAAACATTCAAAAATAAATACTCACTCTCGCTTGTAATCAGCTTTTCAAAGAAACGACAGCATATCAGCTAATGGTCAATGCTTAGGTTTACTTAAAGCAGATKATCCAGTTCCCATTCCTTTCTTAACCCTTTTATGGTACGTGTCCTTGATGTTCCTCCACCTTTTTTTTACAATCCTCTATTGCAAATAAAAGTAACAAAATAAGTACTAAAAGCTGACAAAACAACAAAAATACAGAAACAAACTTAATTCGTAAATTTAATGACCAACTCTTTTTGGTGTAACTTGTTGCAGTAAGTGGGTGGTGATGAATCAGCCAGGACAAATTTTTTTATAATATTTAGATAGACATACGATAAACCTACCTATATTATTAATTATTATTAATTATTATTAATTATTATTATTTATATAAATAATTATCATATCGTTTGAAATGTATAGTCACGTGAATATAGTTTATAATAATAGGCAAATATAAATAATATTATATATATTACTAATAATACTACTAATACTTATATAATAATCTAATATGTTATTTATACCATTTTGGTTGGGTCAACTATTGAGTCAATATTTAAGTATAAACAAATTGTTAGCACACAACTACACAAGAATGATATTTTAAGCTCGTTTATACCAAACATAATATATATAATTACCTATATTAAACAGGAAATTATTATCAATAAGTAAAATAATTTTGTATTTTTAGGTTAATGTCAACTGGCGAATCGTACCACTCACTGCAATTTGCATTCAGAATATCGGCTAGTTGCATTAGCAAAATTTTAAAAAATACACTTAGAGTTTTAAAAGAAAAATTAAGTCCTATATTTTTACCGTCGATCAAATGTGATGAGCTGAAAGGAAAAGCTGAAGAATTTGGACATAAATGGCATTTTTCTAATTGTGTAGGGGCAGTTGACGGTAAACACGTTCGCGTGTTTTGTCCGTAACGATCAGGGTCACTGTATTACAACTACAAAATTTATTTTTCCATTGTCTTACTAGCTGTTGTTAATGCAAATCATAAATCTATTTTTACGGATGTCGGATCATATGGTAAGGAGGGTGATAGTGGTATATTCGACAAAAGTAATCTAGGAAAGCTGTATAGAAATGGGAATTTATTTCCTCCACCCTGTAAGCTACCAAACTCGAGTATTGTATTGCCACACGTTTTTGTAGGTGACGAGGCGTTTCGCTTACATTACACCTATGATGAAACCTTATTCTCATCCTGTTGCAAGTGTGGACAATCGAAAGACGATTTTCAATCATCAACTCTCTAGAGCTCGAAGAGTTTCGGAAAATGCTTTTGGTCTACTAAGCCAAGTTTTTCGTATATTTTATACACCAATTGCCTTAAAGCCCGAGACCACCGACAATTTGATTGTTGTGGCATGCTGCCTACACAATCTACTAAGAGACGCTTATCTAGAGAAACATCAAACAAGGCAATCCGTTCTATGAACTAGACGCAAATGAGCAACCTCCAACAAAAAGTTTTTTACCACTTTCTTAGGACTGGTGGTTTTTTAATTGCCGATGGGTTTGCTGTACGAGATTTATTTATGGAATATTTTAACAGTAATGCAGGAACAATTGCCTGGAAAGATAATCATACTACAAGAACTAATTAATATACTAATATAATTATAATATTTTGTAATACTAAATAATTATAATAAATTACAATTTTCTTACCAGATCTTTTTACTTGTTCAGCTACCTCTTTCTAAGCATTACCTATCCTTGATCGTCTGATTTTTGTAGAGTTTACAACCCAAATCATACAAACAATTGAATTTAGCTACCATTTCCACAAGTTTTTCGTCCTCAATGACACTGAAAAGTACTTTTGACATGACGAAAGTATACGAAAAAAATATGAGAAAATTAAACGAACGCGCGTGCGGCTGTGGCTATACTGCTCACCGACCGGACGGTCTGTGCGGCTGACGCAACTTGCGACCGCCGCAAAGCTGTTGACGCATTTTAGGAAACGCAACCTAACCAGATTTTGTCCTCAATGGAAGAGCCCATGCGAATTTAGTAAAACAATCAATTACGCATAAAATATATTTATAACCTTTGTTTTTCCTCGAATTTGGTATCATTTTAACCAAGTCAGCTTACCACAAATCATTTTTTCCATATATGTTTACTCTACGTCTTGTGAAATTTCTCCGTGATGGTTTGTGCAGTTCAACAGCGATTTCACGTTTAGACATTTATTTTATTTTATTTTAACATGGTATCGGTGGCTAAGGGTGGGACTAACCTCTCGGTTATTTCACCCCTTAATCGCCATCATTTATTGAATCATCAAAATACAATATTTTACATAGTTAATAAAGCGTATTACATATTCTGGGGGCTTCTAACCACCCTAGGGTTGCACTCAGGCATACAGTATTTAAACTTGTTCTTTTCTCTTGTTAAGACGTTCTTAGGGTGGAGCTGCTTGTCTTCGTCGTTCTTCCTTCTCCTTGGAGCTCATGATGGTATGTATGAATTCGTTCATGATATCCCAATTGCTCTTAGACTTCAGCATGGTTTCGACCATATTATCAGCTGTTATGGTCACATTGAGGAGTTTATCCACGGTGTTTCTCCGGCTATGCCACGAATCGCATGCGAAGACTGTATGGTCTGCATCGTCGCTGTGATGGCCGCAGTACCAGCATTCAGAAGAATTGAGTTTTCCGAATCTGTGCAGGTACCCTGCAAAGCAGCCGTGCCTGCTTAGTGATTGAGTTAAGTGGAAGTTAACTTCGCCGTGTCTGCGGCAAATCCACTTCTTTATATCGGGAATGAGACGGTAGGTCCATCTACCTTTGTCACTGCTGCCCCATCGGTGTTGCCACTCTTCCGTGGGGTTTTATTGCTGTCGTTTCGAGGGCATCCCCAATCGGTGTGCTTGGCGTTAAGTCCCCTGTTTAGAGGATTTCGGTGGCGACGCTTCACGTTTAAACATTTGGAATTCGTTTAATTAACCCAATCTCACGTAATTMCTCAAAAATAGATATTATTTCATTGGAAACACCTGTATTACTAGCTGATTTCGATGCCAGAAGAATCGAAGTCTATCAACCACCTCGTTTGGGTTATCCTAATACACTAAGTTATTTTTCTGTACTTTCATAGAAAGCTCACCACCAGCAGTAGGGAATAATTTACTTATAATATTTTTATATTTTTTACAAGTAGTATTCCTAATTTTTAAACCACCTGCAGTTAAATGCGCTGACGTTTGAATTAATATCGATTTATATATCTTCAAATCGTTATCAGTATAAACAAGTGGATTTTTCAGAAATAATAACTTTTAATGATCATTTTTACATATTTATAGTCAAAATTTTAACTTTAAATGCTTATAACTTATAAGTATTAGATAATTGGCATAATGATATTAATAATATTATAGTTAATATTATTAATTTAAAATACATTTGCTTTAGATGAGATAAAAATTGCAAGACGTATCAATATCAAGAATTAATCAGGCTTAAGCAAGTGTCAATTTCGTCACTTAAATCATGTTATGAATAACAATATTGTAAAAAACGAGTTAATATTTAAACTATATTTAATTTTGGATGTTTTAGTAGGCATTTATATCAATTAATTATCATTTATTTATGTTATAAAGGTTGGAGAAGTAAACTTTTAATGTATAAAGAAGATGGATTCAATAAAATTGAAAAATCTATTGAATTTTAAGTTATTATTTTGATTGGTATAGTATCAATAATCTTAATATTTTATTTTTTTTAAATTTCTCTCATGCACAGAATATTTTTCTAAGATTTTTGTTTCTATTGTAAAATAAAAATTGCTCTTCATTGATATTAGGTCATTATAATTTTTTTTTCTATCTAATGGCTGATGAAAATTAAAATATTTAAACTATTAAATTTGAATTTTTTTTTCTACGACTAAGCTACAAAAATAACTTTAGCAACTCTAATGAAAGTGATAATACATCATAATAATTGATCATTTGTCCATGTATTATGTACATAAAAATTATTCGTTTTAATAATTAATAATTAATGAATACAACTATTACAACATTTCATATTAAAATATAATAGTGGATTTATGCGAATACGAATTATGTAGGTATAGGCTTTGGCCGAACCACAGAATAGATTAAGTACCTACCTACTTATAAGTACTTGGTACTAATTATGTTTATATAGTAGTTTATTAAGTCCGTGGTTGTCACACTCATAGACCTTTTAATAAACTAAAAATTCTATGGCCACACTGTTGGTATATTATGAAGATAAGTGAATAAATGATAACACATAAGTGTTTTTTGTTTATGTAAATTGATAATATTGTTCTGATAAAATGAGATCGCTTATAGTTAAATACAAATATTAGATTATAGAATCAATGACTCAATGTACGTAGTTCACTAGTACGTACACAAAATATTTTCGAGAACTTTTTAATATTTTACATTTTAAGCGTCGTTTCTACTTTGTTGTGAATTTGTTTCAAAATGGCAGACCCGCTAACTTTTTTAAGGACATACAATATAAATAAAAAAGAAATCATAATTAAGGACAACCACATATTATTTGGTGATTTATCATGGCCAAAAACTGTTAATACAAACTTCTTGATGTATGGGTAAGTAAACGGATATACAACTTATATACTTTTATCGACATAAACAACAGTTCACAACTTAATGCAAGTATTGTATAACGTTCAGTTCACTGAATCTTAATTCTACTATTAGTATATTTATCTTACAAATGTAATTATTTATTACTTGCATGCTATTCCAGTTCTGGTAAAGATGGTGCACCAAAAGAGTATTATACATTGGAATGCCTATTATTTCTATTAAAGAATGTTACTCTCACGCATCCAGTATATGTGCGACAAGCAGCTGTAAGTAATTGTTTGAGTTACACCTATCTGGTTAGAATTCATAAAATTGTTATGGATTATAATTTCAGGCTGAAAATATACCAGTTGTAAGAAGACCAGATCGAAGAGAACTTCTAGCTTACCTAAATGGCGAATTATCTACATCTGCTAGTATTGATCGCAGTGCTCCTCTTGAAATTCCAACTCAGGTTAAATTTATACTTTTTTTTGCATCCTCTTGTTTGTTACAATTAGATTTGTATGTTTAATACTTTGAACAGGTTAAACGAAGTGCTGTGGAAGATGTACAAGAATCAGTTGCTAAAAAACCTCGTATGGAAGATACTTTACAAGTTCAAAGGGTTAAACAACAATTGGCTGCACGTTTGGATGCACCTAAAGAGTCTGCTGTCAATGTTGATAATATAAAGTAAATATTATACAACATAAATTTAATTTATAGAAAAAAAAAATGTTAAGTATAGAATCAATAAGTCTAAATATATTCATTTTTCATCAATTTAATACTCTAATGAAAATCAATATTTCAAGTTTAGAAAAATAAATTTGATTTTGTTATTCAAGTTTTGAATTGACTAAATAAAATAGTTTTACTCAATATATTATGATTGTACACGAGACAGACATAGTGCTATTGTGGAATTAAAGGAAAATGGCCTCGAACAAGCAGAAAAATAAAAATAAATATTTAAAATATTTAATTTTGTAAATTTTTAATATTTATTATAGATCTCTTTCGGAAGCTATGTCTGTTGAAAAAATTGCTGCAATTAAAGCCAAACGTTTGGCAAAAAAACGTACTACCATTAAAGGACATGATGATATAGGTCTTGGTCCAGATCTTAGAGTTATGTTGGATTTTGATGTTGATATAACAAAAGACATCATTAAGCGTGAAAGACAATGGAGAACCCGTACTACTATTTTGCAAAGCAASGGAAAAGTAATTAAAAAATATTGTTAATTTTAGTATACCTAAGTAAAATATTATTTATTATACATCAGTATTTTATTTTATTATTTTAAAGACGATTGTAGACAAGTGTATGTATTCATTTTTATTTTTATGTTTTATTCATTTAAGGTTTTTGGAAAAAATATTTTTGCAATACTTCAATCTATTAAAAACCGCGAAGATGGTAGATCACGTCCATCACATAGTATGTCAACTACACCACGTGTAGCACCTCCTAAACCAACCATACCACAGCCAACTGTTTATAACCGTTATGATCAAGAAAGATTTATTAAATCAAGAGAAGGTTAGTCAATTTTTGTTTATTATTATTAATGTTTATATAATTTATTTAGTTATTTAAAATTGTATTAAACTTAAAAATGTTGATGTTTAGATACGGAAGGTTTTAAAATTGATACTATGGGTACATATCATGGTATGACGTTGAAATCTGTGACTGAAGGAACAGTTCCAAAAAAACCAGTAGCTACTGTCACTCCTGTACAACAATCTTCTCGGTCTGGTCCACATGTAAGTTTATTATTTATAATAATAGTTAACAATTAAGTAGCAATGGCAGTTAAACTTTATTTTTTAATTCATTTAGTATGAAGTTATGTTAATATTTTTTAATTGTTTTTTAAAAGTTTACGGAAAACGAGATTTTGGTGAGTTAAAAAAAAGTCCAATAAATATAGTATATTATTAGTATTTAGAATGTAGAACAGGTTGGATTCTTGTCCTAACATATCATGCTTATTATATTTATTGTGTTTTTGAGTTAACATACATCCAGAATAAATACTAAGTGGGGTAAATATGATAAATCATTGTAATCAATAAATAATTTTGAAAAGTGCTTAATTTTCAAGTTAAAGTGGGAATAGTATAAACTATTGCAAAAATTCAAAATTCTTCGTCATATCAATTAGACTCAATTTTCAATTGATAGTTATAGTCAACTTCTTAAGCATTTCATAATTCATTCCTTGATTCAATATAATTCATTAAAATTGTTTATTTTATTTATATCATGTAGTTATCATTTTAAGGAAAAAGATAAAAGTGCTTTTCAATGAATTGTTAATAATTGTTATTTCATGGCTGCTTATTTAATTATAAAAATAATAAATGTTTTTATATATAAGTTTTTCTTATATATCATTATATTTTAGTATTATGTTGGGATTATATCTTAAAGCCCATAAAACATGAAATTACTCAACTATGTGTTCATCAAATAAGTATAATTCATTTTTTGTTTTCGCAATAAACAATAATCATTAACTTTATTATACAATATTGTATATATTTGTAAGTATTAGACAATTTGTAAAAAAAAATTTAAAAATGTTGTTAATTAAATTTAATTAATTTTAAAATCTTTGCATGTCTGAACTATTCAATTAAATAATTTTAATTGTAACAAACATAGGCCAAATTGACTGCTTCTCAACAAGCCAAACAAAGAATATCAAGGACTCCAATAATTGTCATTCCTGCAGGACAGTCTTCATTAATATCTATGCATAATGCTCGAGAAATCTTACAAGAACTGAAGTAAATATTACATATTTTAACACATACAAATATATTTTATTTTATGATACCATTTAATGGTAATTGCTATTTTTTTTTTTATGTGTACCTCCAAATTTCCATTGTATTCTTTGACCAATTGTTCTATATTGTGTTTTTAATTTATTCTGAAATTTATTTAGTTGCAAGTTTTTTCAGCAAAACCTAATTTATAATATTGAGTTCAATATTCTCAGGGTATATCTTACCTTGAAGTTTTTTAAATCTTCATAATATTTTGATAAAAACTATATCAGTTTCCATAAATCAAAATGTATAATATTGAGAGATTATAAATAATGTGATATTTTTGACCAAACAAAAATTTTCTTTAAGATTTGTATCAACTGAAGAAAAAAAACAAAATGGTTCAAAGCGTGATAATGAATTACTTTTACAACGTCGCAAAGATGGGGGTATGACAGTGCCTTACCGTGTGGTTGACAATCCTCAAAGACTGACACAAGGAGAATGGGACAGAGTTGTAGCTGTATTTGTTATGGGACCAGCATGGCAGTTTAAAGGATGGCCATGGGACGGCAATCCTGTAGAAATTTTTTCTAAAAGTAAATATTAATTTTAATTTTTATATACYAGGGTTTTAAGTTTAATTTAACTTTACTTTTAATTTTGAAATCATAATTGATGTTAAGATAATTGTATTCATCAATTTAAATAATCAAACAATAAAACTTAGTTTAAGAATAATTTTATATACATAACCTAATAATTATTATTATTATAGATAATTAAGTTTAATTTGGATACAGTTGATGGTTAAAATTTAATTTTTTGGTACATAACTATTTGTTGATACTATAAAATCAGTTTTGTAAATTTTAATAGATTTTGAAATCTAAATAATAATAAATTAAAGGAAAATTAAAATTATGTTACACAATATGTCCTATAATACATTATTGAATCCTTAAATTAAGTAAAAACAGAATATTTAAAAAAAAAAATCARAWTAATACAAATCTAAAGATAAAAAAATAATATAATTTAATATATCCAAAACAAAATAATTTATTAAAATTAATTACATTGTTTAATTTTCAGTATGTGCATTTCATTTAAAATTTGATGAAATGAAATTGGATGCAAATGTGGCCAAATGGGCTGTTAATGTTTTGCAAATATCAAGGACCAGACGTCATTTAGATAGAGCAACCCTTATGGTATTCTGGGAAAAATTAGACAGGTATGTTATAATAATATATTGTATGAATACTATGTATGCTGTTCAGCATTAAAATTGGTGAAGTAAACCAGTATACAATATACAAATATAAATATGACTATTTGAAATTTAATTTAGTCAACGGATTCAATTAATATAAAATAATATACAGACTAATCAATCGTTAATTACTAAGTAAAACATTTTTCAAAACCATGTTTTTCATTACTGCGTACTATTATTTAAAATATTATGTTTTTAACAGATATATTTAACTTAGTTTAAAAAAAATTAAACATTACACTCCTAAAACCAAGTTACATGTCCTTTTAGTTCTCCTGTAAAATATATACATAAAAATAAATGTTAAGTGCCATGTAGTATAATGCTTAGTAATATGAATGTAATGCTATATATTATTATTATTAAAATAAGATTTAAAGCATTTAGAATTCTTTGTTTTTAATATCAATATGTCTACTATAGATTGAATTATGTGTGATAATTTTTTTTTCAGACACATATTGAAGTATAAACCAAGCTTACGATTTTAGATAATAGTAGAAATAACGACAATTGATTAATCCTTGAGCTGGTACTACATTTTTCAATAATTACGGTATTGCTCATTATTGCAGTAATACAGTATTAAAGTTAATTGAAATATTGTTTATTTTAATTTATACTTTGTTTTAAATGTATTTCAAAATTGTTTCTTTTTATAGTTGATTTTAAAAAAATGTAACTTTTCCCAATTGTTTAACTCAATCCATCAATTTAGGTCTTATTTTAGTTTTAAATTACTAAGTCTCCTTTTTATTTTGTTTATTGTTTCTTGTCTAACATTATTTTGTATTAAAAAATATTGAAATATTTAAGAACTTTTTGTACTGCAAAACTGTATATATTGGAAATTATTCATTATCATAATTTTAAAAACTGACGAGGCAGTACCTATTATTTTTTTATGCTATCAAACATTTTTTTTTTAATCATAAAACTGTTAATTTGTAATTTTAAGCAATTGTCAAAGTATTAACGTAAAATAAATATATTTTGACATATTGATATTGTGATAGTACAATATATTTTATAAATTAAATAAAGATGTGTAATAAAGAGAAGAAAGATATGATTTTGTTTGTTACTGTAATTTGAGGTGTAAAGTAGGAATAAGGATTTCAATAATTGTTTGAAGATTCTGAGCACAAATTGTATAGCCCATTTATAGAGGGGTGTAATGCACTGTGCACAGCATTATTGTAAGCTTGAAATCCAGCAAGAAGAAAAATATTAAAAGTGTGGTGTTCATAATATAGAAACTCTCTAATTCTTTAAAATGGAAAAATCAGTTGGCATCTACAGGGTGTCCCGTGAAGATTTACCCATTGCAATATCTCCCGAAACAACGGTGATATAAAAATTCTAGTTTTATAATATGATTCACTAGGATAAGAACTACAATTATTTCATTTTTAAATTTATTTTAATGTTTTTGAAAAAATGTAAAAAATATATTTTTGTTATTTAATTATTTCCAAAAATATTAAAGRTGGCCATTTTGTAGAGTTTATTTTTCTGAAGATATAGACGTTTCAAAATTTTGTTTTCATCAATTTCCTGATTTTTAATATTTTTTTTAGTTTCGACAAAAATTGCAAATTATTAATGTTATCAAACATGTTATCACCCACCGCGCCGCGCGCATTCCCATACGTCCGGCCGAATACCTTCCGTGTTCCTAATAGTCATAAATTATTATCATATTTTATTTCTTCAAAACTAGAAAAAATATTAAAAATCAGGAAATTAATGAAAATAAAATTTTGAAACGTGAATATTTTCAGAAAAATAAACTACAAAATGGCCACCTTTAATATTTTTGGAAATAATTAAATAACAAAAATATATTTTTTACATTTTTTCAAAAACATTAAAATAAATTTAAAAATGAAATAATTGTAGTTCTTATCCTAGTGAATCATATTATAAAACTAGAATTTTKATATCWCCRTTRTTTCGKGAGATATYGCAATGGGTAAATCYTCRCGGGACACCCTGTATAAGGAAGTTTTACAGTTTATGATTTATAATATTTTATATACTCCAGGGGCCATAGTCGGCCATACTATTTGCCTYCCAAAGTTGATCGGTTGAATACGATCAGGGGCGCTGATGTATTTTGAAACACCTATGCCAATTTTATTATGAGTCAATAAATCCAGCCACCCACCTACCAGACTGACTTATAAAACAAAAATAATTCTCTTAAAACAATATAGAACAGTTAAGGATCTATTATTCTATTCTGTGGTCCCTATTTTTGTTAACATTACAGCCACCCACCCATTTTTTTACCTATGACATTTGTCATGAGCAAAACCTACTTTCAGCGCCCCTGAATATTATTATACCTAAATGATTAAAGGGCACAACATATTAAAGATAATAATATTATATTATACATTCATTGCCAAACCAATGCATGCGAATCTTTCCATAACAAATTTAATAGTTATTTTGTGTATTCAGATTCTAATATATAAAGGAAGGACAAAAATTCTGGAGCCCCATACAACCCGAGCAGCGAGCGTCCTCTTTGTTTCTATTTACTTGTTGTTAATATATTTCATACAAATATAAAATAATCTATATATATAAATGGAGCCAAAAATACATAACAATTCATCAATTGGCTGAACCGATTTCGCTCATTCTTTTTTTGTTGGGTTCATAATTGTCAGGAGAAAAATCATATAGATGAAAATTTTGAGAAAGTTACCGGGTTAGAGGAATATTATGACGAGATGATGATGAAATTACAAAGCGCCATCTGTCCAGTAAAAAATGAGCTAAATAATTTTTTTGTAATGAATGGGAATCATTTAAATTATTTTTTATTTTACCTATTACAATTCAATGTACATAGTTAAGACAAATTTGTTTTAAAATATTAGGGTCTCATTAGGGTTTTAATTTGATCCACATCGTTGAATATTCAATTAAAGAATAACCAAAGTCTAAAAGTGTTCTATTTAATTAATAAATCACAAGCGTAAAGCGTTAGTATATTTAGTGGACAATTCATATGAAAATAAAATAAATAAAAATGGATTTATGTCTATTTATCCTTTATGCATTCCAATTCTAATTTCTAATTTTATTAAACATATGGGCAGAAGATGGGCTATGTTAGAAAGTGATATGCCTAAATATCATTCAATTGAATATTTAAATTGTTAAAAATTATATTAATTTAACGAAGAAAATGACATAATGATATACGAAATTGAATATCGTTGTAAGATTATAATATAGTTTAACCGCTATCTATCATTATGTATAGAAATATACTGTTAGCATCATCACATGACGTAATGAATTTAACACACAGTATGAGCCATATAAGAAATAGGATTTTTAACGGGCTACGAAGTGCACGGGTTCAGCTATAGTAAGATTATATAATGTTGACAATAGGTACATTATTAAAATTGTTATAAATATTTAAAAATTTGTTACACCAGAAGGCAGAAAGTATCTAGAGCTAGACAATGATACAATATTAGAGTAAAAAACAATCGTTTATGATTAGTTTATAGCTTTATTCGTACGACGAAATTTTTCGTACATAAATATGACAGTAGTATAATTTTTTTTAATCGTATGGTTGTTAGGTATTAGTTATACAATTTAGTATGAATGAGTAAGAAATTAGCAATTTATTATTACTTAATTAGGTACCAATTTTAAAAATTGTATCACTTTTACAAAGCTAAAAATGTGATAAAATATTAAGATTGAATATACTTTTGGTCCTGTACCTATTTTAAATGACTCTGTTACAAATTTTTTATGGAAATTGATAGGGTAAATCCACGGGAATTCGTCACGGGAAGTTTTGATCATGACTAGCCTGGTATAAACGACGAATTAAACAAAAATTTTGAATCACAGTCGGTATTTTTAACGAAGTGCACGGGGATCAGCTAGCATATATATATTTTATAGATAGGTATAGCGGTAGGTACGGATAGTTACATGATGTTTGTACAAAATTAAAATACAGAAATATACACAATAATAAGACAAAGGCGTAATTAAGGGGGTTGAGGTGATAGATCCCCCAAAACTTTTATTTTACTGTTAAAGTTTTATATTTTGTGGAGTAGGTTACTGTATGAGGCTTACAGATTTTGCTAAAAAACATAAAATCTCCCCTCCCCAAACCGAATTCCTAATTACGCCACTGTAATAACATATACAGATATACATATATATCTTAATATAYCTAACGACGTTATACGTATTACGTACAATTATTATGGATGTAATACAAAMAATTATCAGAATGGCCAATATGATTCATAGATCTAAACCTTATTTGCTGCACATGTACAAAATATAAAATTACGAATAAAATGCGTTTGAATGAAACATCGTTGAAAATCATAAATTAAGTAATTCGAAATAATCCTAACCAATCTAAATTATTAACGAGTATCTACTGAGGTGTATAATTTTATATATCAATGTTTGTACTAGTCTCGTCGGTCTTCATATTATCCGCTGCGTTAAATTTTCAACTGCAAAATAGTTTAGCGATTGTTTGTAGTTTTGTGGAACTGTATACATTTGTATTACGTTTTTTGAATTATATTTCATTTGAACTTCGAACCCATAAAAAGAAAATCGTGCGTGCACAGTACACACTTTTAATATTTTTAAATTTCTATTATTAAGAAAATATTATTTAAATAGGTAGGTATAATATCATTTTAATAATTCATTAAACTATGATATTTTTTTATATTATCATGTTTAATAAAAACTGGATTGTTTATTGTTAAATTCACAGTTAGTCCGAGTTAAGTACATACTATACTATATTACTATATGTCTATATATACATACGAGTACATAGATAAATGTACAATTTTGTTTTAATTTTAATGAACTATATAGGTACTGAAGTCAACGTAGAAACTTTTATCATAAATTTAATGTTTGTCACATCGAATGTTGTTTAGTTTCTCTTCCTACCAAACATTTGTAAACTAAATGGCCCATTCGTGCAAAATCTACGAGGTTCTTGATGCATTTGGAACGAATATTTGAAATGTACAATTAATGAATCCTAATTAGTTATACACATCTTATACAATTTCAGAGTATAAAGCACCATAATTATTTAACATAACTATATTTATTAAAACTGTAAGTACCTYCCACGATTAAATTGTAACACTAATGGCCATATTTGCCAAGTTTTATTTGATCAATAAAAAAATATATTAAGCATATTTAAATAATAAAACCTATAGAATATTTTGGGATATGAAAGTTTTAATAATGACYGTATCAATATTAATAATTATAAATAGGTATAATAGATACCTTCTGTAAATAAATATGTTGTCGATATGGTTGCTTGCATCTTACTAGGATTTAATTAATATATATTATAATCTATAAAAAAAACCACAATATAATTTAATATTTCCTCGTATATACCATATAAATCCTACCTCCTACACGAATACTAAAAAGCTATTCAAATTATTATATGTACATAATATTACCTAATCATTATATCATTATATTAATTATATTGATAACTTAATTTTAATTTTTTATTTGATGAGTGAACAATTTAAAATTAGGTTTTCAATTATGCATTTATGCATCATGTATAATATACAAAAAACCATAAAGAATAAAGATGATATWTTTTTTTTTGAAAACATTTTCAACTACATTTTTTAAAAATACGAAATTTTATCTAATTTATCTTGTAGAAGTTTAAATAAGAAAACTTATGAATTATAATACTTATTATTGGAGATTAAACTATGTACTTAATTCAAATAATTTATAAAAAGTTTGTGTTATTTATGCATGAAAATGTAAATTATATTTTTAATTATTACAAAGATTATTTTTATCTACCATTGTTGAACACTTTTCTTGATAAATTCTAATCAGGAATATTTTGGCATTTTCTATTAAAATGTTACCTACTGCAAACGAAATTAGTATTTTTCAAACAAATATATACATAGTATTCAGTGTTACKAAGATATATAWAATATATGATGWACAAACATATCCAGTGTATGAAACTCAGCTGCATAATATATAATTAAATAAAGTTATTGTGGTCGCTATCGAGTTTGAGCCGATCTACAGGAATGTCCCTTCCCTCCACATTCCCTAACACGGGATATTCTCGGTAGCTCGTTAGAAATGGTTTTAATGCGATTTGTCCTGTTGTTTTTGTCTTTTCGACCGAATTTTAGCATTCGGTGGCCAACGATGGTTATAAATGAGAAAATGTAAATGACAGGATGGTGAGAGGAAGTTACAGCTTGAGTTAGAATACAAAAAAACAAATTATAAAAAGGGGTTTATTCTCTTGCARATAATAAAATACAAACATTTGTTTACGTGTTTGCAATCGCGTCAAAAATGGGTAAACGTTTTATAAAATGTTCACCGACAACAGCATTCATATAAAAATGTAGTTTTGTAATAAATTCTTGTCTATTTTGAATTATTCAAAATTCAAAATTCAAATATTATATAGTGGTTAATAAAAKTATTTTAACTGACTAATTGTCATAAAACTATTTTGATGTTGGTAGATTTTGTTCAATGGATGATGAATCCATTGTTACACATTGAGTCGGCGTGCAAAATAATAAAGGGAAGACGAAATACAAATTTTAAATCGGTGAATTACAGAGTAGAAAATAAAAATTATGAATAAAAATTCAAAATCATATATTTGCATGTACCTATGGTACCTACTTACAATTTACCTGCCTACGCTACTAGTTTTTTTTATGCACATTTGATTCTCGCATATATGAGTAATTAATAATTATTATATCAATATTTAAAATGATTTTGATGCAAAGAGAAAAATGAAATGCTTCAAGTTTGTTAGTTTATTATGAAAAAATTTTAATTTATACATTTGTACATAAAATACAGTTAATGAGATTCTGTCACGTATCGTTTACAATTATATGTGTGAATGATGCAACAAAAAGAGCTGCCAGAGTCGATATATGTTTCCCTGTTAACAAAATCCAATAATTTTTCATTATAAATAGAATTTAATGATAAATAAATAATGATTTATACAATGTACCAACCAGGATTTATTGTATTTATGTTATTTCTGTACTTCTCTAGGAACATATTTTCTGTATATGACTGTGTTARTGATTGGATAACAATCATTTTTCGCCATTTCAATTGTTCTTGTATGAGACTTGCTTCACAAGTTAAGTCCAGCTCGTCATTGGGTCCTTGAAAATGATSTTTCTCCACCTAATTTGATATCATTTGTTTGTAAAATTATATTATAAGCGATAATGAGTACAATTGTTTAATGTTATCAAATGTTACTAGTTTTGTTGATGGATAAATTAATAAATTATAATACTTTATTACGATATTGTCKTCATGATAAAGAAATTCAAAATATTTTACACTCATGATAATGAAAGTAAGAGCTTCATAGAAAATTATCGATCTATTAATTATTATTTATTAGGCCATTCTAGCAATTATAATAAAACTGTTTAAATAGATAGTGTAGTATACTATACTATATAATTATCAACTATTTAAATAATAAAACAAGTGGGAAACGGGCACGTGACACACTGACATCTCTGAATGTCTAATAGATAGAATATGAAAATAGTATCACCTAAATTTAGATTTAAATATATAATATGCATCATGATAATGTGTCTAATTTATATCTAATAATAATAAAATACCTAATATGAATTCGATATTAT